ATTTGGTCTCTCCTTCACCCTGAGGAGGGGCTGGAGTTGCTGCCCAGCTTTGGCGGTGGAGGCCCAGGTGTGGATGTGGTGGTGGCGGCATCCAGGCAGAAGCTGCTGCTGGACACCAGGAAAAGGTGGGCCCCCAGCCGCTTCCCCCTCACTGCTGCCAGGGCTTCCCACTGCAGCTTCCCAGAGCCCTCACTGGGGCTCTCCTCCCCGCTGCCACCAGTGCTGCCTCCAGGTAGGCAGCTAGGAGGAGGTGGCCGCAGTCATGGCCACCTCTAGGTCCCCCTTTTTCCTGGTGCCCAGCAGCAGCTTCTGCCCAGTTGCTGCTGCAGCTGCTCCCCCCCCCCATCCCCCCTGCCCCTGCATTGGGTGAGCCAGGGTTGGGGCTAGGGCTGGGGCCAGGGTCAGTGCTGTGTGCTCAGCCTGGGCCTCAGGCCCTGCCTATGAGTCTTGCCTGGTCTCCATGGGGCCTGGGCCATTGGCAGCTAGCACTGCTTGCAGGATTGTCAGGAAATGGAGTCTAGCCGTGGAGCCTCCCAGCCCTGCTGCGCACCCAGGGGCAGCAGAATGTGCCATGGGCCAGATGGCACCTGGGTCAGGTAGGACCCAGGGACCTGCTGTGGGGCAGACGAAATCCCTATGTGGACCGCGGGCTGTATTTTGTCTACCCCTGTACCAATATATAAGGCACAGGTACAGCTCCATTGAGGATACTGTGCAGTTCTAAATAGCTGATCAAAAAAAGAATAACATAAACTGGAATAGTACAAATAAGGGCCACTAAGAGGTGTAAGGAAATGGAGATATTTCCTTATGAAAGGAGATATTTCCTTATGAAAGAAGATTAAAAGAGCCTGGGCTTGCTTAGTTAACAACATGAAGATTGAGAGGGGATATGATTATGCTCCACAAATACATTTGTGAGGTGACTACTGGGGAAAGAGAAGAGCTTTTACCTGAAAAACAACCTTGGCACAACATCAAATTACTATAAACTAGCTATGAACAATTTTATATAGGAATGTTTCCTCCTAGCAAATCAGCAAGGACTATGAAGGTTTTTTGCCTTCCTCTGTAGCATGGGGTATAGTCTTCTTTCTTGGATCCTCTGACCATATGTTAACCAATGACTCCCCTGTCGTTGCAGTTCCTCAGTTTGCTTGCTTTTTGTTACAGCATGTTGTAGGGTTTTTTTTTGCATTTCTGGTTTTGCAACATGCAGCTATGAGTGGGGATTTGAAGTGGCTGGTTTGGTCTGAAGAGGCAGTTGTGAAAAATCTTTGGGTAACTGGTTGCCTATGAACACAAGGGAGTGGAATTGTTGCTCTTCTTCCTATGCAAGGTTAAACTTAAAATAATCCTTATAAAAACTGTAGAGGGTGACTTATTCAGGAGGATTTTAGATACTCTTCTTGCCAAATAGAAGGCTGGTTGACTTGAAATAGAAGCAGTAACCAATAAGAAACATTCATACATTCAGATAAATTACATTTTGAACTTGGCTTGGCATCAAATAATCTTACGGATTTTCCCTAAATTTCCCCAGTCTCTATGCAAATATGTTTAAAGGTAGTAACAGGATATTAGTCTCATACCTGCACATACCTGCACACACGCTCATACAACTAAAAACTTTTTCTTTCCAAAACCTTGGATGATGCATTGGAGGTACAAAAGGCACTTTAACCTTTAAAAGGCTGCAATTTTGGAAAGGCAGTTTAGCCATGTTAGTCTGAAGTCAAGCAGAGGCAAGGCAGATTTCCACCTACATAGATAGGGAAAGGAGGGAGAGAGGGATCACTGACCTCAGAGTAGCTGTTCTTTGATAACAAAACTTTAAAAATGAACTTGAACGTAAAGTTGTAGAACAAGAAATCATCCACAGACTGGATTGTATTAAGGATGATCTAAACAGGGACTATGGATTCTTATCTCATTACCTCGATTAGCTTTTGTGCTAAGCTAGGGACCCCTTTGTCCTTGTGGGTTTATCACTTGTTTGCCTCTCCAAGCACTGCTCCCCTTTCCCTCCCCTCCGTCTTTTGCATTCAAATCGCTCTATTTGATACACTGCTCTGTGCATGTGCTTTCACAGAATCTATTGAAATGAGCTCAGGCTCACAAAAGCTTATTGCCAGGGGTGGGCAAAACATGGCCTGGGGGCCAGATCTGGCTCATGGGGGCACCTGCCAGTTGATTGGATCCAGCCTGCAGCTGTCCCTGTGGCACTCCGTATGGGGCCAAGTCCAACCCTGCTCTGCTTCAGCCCGCGTGCATTGGCTCAGCCCTTGCCATCGCACACAGCTTCTGGCGTGGCTGCTCCCAGTGCGGCTGGAGCTGCCTGGGTGCTGCTTTGCTCCCTGTGCCTCCAGCAGTGGCTCCTGTCCTGCTGCCCTGCTCCAGGCCCAGAGGAAGCTTCAGCTGGGTGGCTCTTGCCCCAGCATGAAGGGCTCTGGGTCTAGGTCCTGGCTGCCTTTCACCCACTCTTTTCGCCCGGTGCAGGTGGCCAAGTGGGTGGAAGGCAGCTGGGAGAGCTGGAGCCAGAGCCCTGTGTGCTGGAGCATTCTCCCCACCTGGAATGGCACAGCAAGAGAAGAAAGAGCTGCCATTGGAGGTGAGGGGGTACAGCAGCACCCAGGCAACTGCAGCTGTACCTGGAGTAGCCCCACCAGAAGCTGCATGCACTGGCTGGGGCTGGTTTGGGGGGCACAAGCCGAAGCATGGTGTGGGCTGCCCCAGTGGAAGCTGCCTGGCCTCAGCCCCATGCCAAGCACCGCAGGGGCAGCTGTGAACTGCACTGACTGGGCGAGTTCTGCTGCGTGCGCCCTCTGCTCGCTCTTCCCTCCCCTCACCACTGGCCGGCTCCTGGGACCTAGTGCCCAGGCAGCCCCCACACCACACACACATGCGCACGTGCCCCCCACATGCCCACCACACCCTGCCACAGGGTACAGGTCACTCCGCAACCCCACTCTGTGATCCTGGCTTCAGCTGCCTGTCTGGCTCCCAAACACTTTTCTCCACCTGCCCGCGGCCCCATCCCACACAGGGAGTTTTAGTGAGTTGTTGCACCAGGGGTGGAGGTGCTGACCTGGCCCATGACAACTTGTCAGAACTCCCTATGTGGTGTCTGGGACCCAATAATTGCCCAGACTTGGCTTATGCTATACATATAATTTACACAGTCTATAAGGTGCAAATCTACCTTGCCATCTGCCTGATATTTTACAACCATTCAAATAAAAGAACATAATCTGATACGTAATAGTTAGAGAAGAAGGGAGTTATGTTGCCTGATGAACACAGTCCTAATTTTACATTCAGTTTAGGAGATTGTGTGAAAAAGATCTAGCAGAGGAACAGGATGAAGCTGAGAAGACAGAAAAGAAAACCCCTATTGAAAAAATAAATACAAGAGCACAGCCACTTGAGGCAGCATAGTTTTGGGACATGTACACACAGACACATTTATTGCAGGGATAGAGTTTCTGCGTGTTGTACAAAATGGTTGATTGACATATTATAGTGTAATTGGACTGTACAATTTGCAGACTATGAATCTGGGAAAGGGAGTAATCTGGTTTGTTTGGAGGTGCAGCTTGTGGAACACTGACATTCCTTGGGAAGAAGTTTTAAAATTGTAAAGATTGTGGTACCAGGATGTTTTGGGAGTGGAAAAATAGAGGTCATTTTCTCAATCTTTTTTTTCTGTGGTTCTGTGCCAGGTATATTTGTAGGGGGCAATCTCTATTATTACATGATTAAGAATTTTGTGAAGGATTTTGCTTGTTAAACTACTATTTAACATTTGATGTCAGCATGGAACCTGCCAATGACCACCATTCTAAATCCTTGCTTTATACAATTGATGCACATTGAAATAAAAGCTAGGAGTTTCAGAAGAATCGAATAAACTTAAGCATCTAACTCTCCTTACATTTCAACAGGATTTAGGCACCCTGGGCTCTTTTGAAATTCCCACCAAATATCAGCTGCCTAAAGTCACATCGTTGGCAAATGCTTGAGACAATCAACCATAGAACCTAGACCTCCACTACTCTCTGTAAATATGAAAACCTATGCTTTCTGCCCTACCACTTCTCTTATTCCATTTGTAATAGGAATGTTGTCATTAGCAGAAACTGTAGCTAGTCTGAGGCCCATTTAGAAATCTTATGCCATAACAGTTTAAGTAAGTTCTTGTTCAACTAGTTTCTGATGATTAAACTCTGAGTTTATCTGTTGCACATGGGAGAAACTTGCTTGTACAGTAGCATGATCTCTTAAGAGTTAAGAAACACAATGGCTCTTTGTAATTTCTGTATAACCGCTCTGAATACTGCCATTCATCATTATTTTGCATCCTGCACATTTTTAACGTTTCATTGGTTGGTATTTTATATCATCCAGTCCAGTCTGTTCTTTCTGATCGTGTTCTGACAAATATGAAAGACTCTGGCAAGGGAGATGTATAAAAAAATCTTAATTTGATTCACAGTTTAGTCTTAGTTTTTGTTTTGAGCAAGCCCAAAATCTCTGAGAAAAGGAGAGCTGAAGTTACTGAGTTTTTTCTGGTTTCAGAATCCTTTGCAAGTTTCAATATAGTTCACCTTAAAAGGGACTGCTCAGGGGTATTTGAAACAGCATCGCCAATCTCAATTTCCCCCCTCCCAATATAATAAGATTGACTGATGAAAAAAAAAAAATTTCCTTCTTGTTTATGAAGTGAACTAGATAAACAAAGGTCAATTTTCAACTTTTCTCTGAAACCATGATGTCCACAAATGTAGTTAAAAATACAGATTGTCCAAGAATAATAATCCAAGAGCTGAGGCTTTAAGAAATATTAGCAATACTAACAAACACTAGCAAAATTGGCTTTAAATTTAGCCCAAGCTTACTGAAAGATTCATTTTAGTGGAAATCATAGTTTTCACCAAAAACACAGTTACTTTCATTGTAGATTGTTTGTTTTTTGCAGAAGTCCAGCACAGTTCAGATGACTGCGATTGCATGCTGCATCTCTGCTTCATCTGATACTTGGACATTGAAAACCAGGTCTTCACACCCATCTTCCTGCACAATGCAGGTGACCACATATCTAACATAACTTCTTGCTCTCTTCAAGCCTGTCTAATGGAGGCCTTAAGCAGTACGACGGATACTTATTTTGATTTGCCCACTTACATAAGGTCTGGATTTGGTACCTTTCTTCAACAATTTGGCTAAGTAAGACTTAAAAGTAAGTTGCAGTATTTCAATGTAACAACGTGGATGGAAGTGAATTATGCACAGATGTCTGTCATTAACACATTCTTGAAAGGCAAACCATTTAATTTAAGCAAAGCAGTTTGGTTGACAAGACACTCCCTTTTTCTATGATCAAATCACACTATTTTCTCAGGGTGTGAAAATCCAGTTGTGGCCTCTAGCAGTGGGAAAATGATAGAACAGTGGCACAAAACCCAACCATTCCCAGCATATAGAACAAACTCACAGCACCTATCAGTTTACAAAAAGCTTGATGAACAGCAATGGACTCATTTTTGGTTGCTTATGTGCTTCCCCATACAGTTCTCCCTCTTTACTAAATCCAGTGTACCTCAGTATGGAGCCAGTACCTAGGAGTGGTTCAATCTATGTGCTAATGTAATAGGCTAATGTCAAAGATTGCTACAAGCAGTACTGATTTCTGTGATGTGAACATCTTTTCCTTTGGAAAGAAACAAAACAACTCATTTAACATCAGGCCACACAAAGCAGATAGATAAAGATTTCTGTGAAAAGCTCCCAGTGCCATTACCAACTATCCTGTATTACTCTATCTGTCCTTTCAGGGTTTAATATTTTTTATGAAAGATCTAAGAGTTAACAGACATGAATGCAAAATTACTTTGCACAACAGAAGAGAGTCACAGTAATTACAGTAATTATGAAACTAATATAGTTTAAAGGTGTGCTTAATATTAAAAGATCTTGTATGTGCAAACTCCTTTCCTTCCTGATAAGCTACTAGTCCATTTGTTGGGAAATTTAATTTGTATGAAGAAGCACCTGGATTGATACTTAAAGCAATTAGTATTTTGGATGATTCACTGGAAATGTGTAGGTTCATATGTTTTACATAGTGCTACCTGGTGATAGCAGGGTCATAAAATCACTTGGAACTATGATATTCATCAAACACCTTCTGCCTTTAGGAAAAATTGTACATGTAGATATTAGGAAACATTTTCCAGTGTCTAATTGGCTTTGGAGTCTAAATATCATTTCCAAAAGTGATTTAGACTTCAAAGGGGACATTTACACAATGTCCCCAGAACTGCCAAGGGCACTTGCTTCTTAAGTGCACCTTACTCTCACATTTGTCAACTGTAGAAACGCAGCCAGTCTGGGGTCATCCCTTATGTCTGCTTTCAAGCTGATTCATGAGTAGGGACCTGTGTAATTTAGGGTAGCTGAATTTCGTGGGCAGAACATAGGGCGTTTTGTGGGCGGAGCATGGCAGCCCCCCTCCCCCCCCCAACCTCTGATTGGCTAAAGGGCCCTGGTGCCCCTGTCCCTCACTGCTAAGTGCCTGCAAGAGCTGCCTGTTATGTAGCCCTGCCCCTCACTGCTGATTGGTCGAGGGGCGGGGCCACACGGCAGCCCTCACAGCCAATTAGCAGTGAGGGGCAGGGGCAGCAGCCATCTTCCTGACAGCTTGAGTGGGCAGACTCCGCTCCACTCTTCCCTGCCCTGGTGGGCTGCTGCAGTGCCCTGAGGATGGCTGGCTCCCTCTGGGGAGCCGGCATTTTCTTTTCAGTAAGTTTCCACCCTCTGCACCCAGATTTTGCAGACATTGCCTGATTTCATGGGCAAAGATGGATTTTGTGAAATCTGTGAAATCGTGATTTTGGTAGGTCCCTATTCATGAGAGACCACACAGGGATACCCTCTGGAGAGGCTTTGCTGAATTTCTGGGTTTGGTTTATGTGAGCAGGACTGTATGGAAGGGATGTATTTGGCAGTGTTGCTATTTACCCCCTGGCAGTGCTGAACAATGCAAACTTACTCCAAATACCTAATGTAATTTTTGAAAGTGTAACCTAGGAGTCCAAGGCCATGGAGAGATGTGCATTTGTAGTGCTACAAAAACATAGCCCTATGAGGGGCATTCACAACCCCCCTGTTTGTAGCACTATGATGTTCCCACAAAGGCATACTCCCCAGCCAAGGGGAAATATGAGACTATTCCTTTGCTCCTCTATCCCCAAGGGAGTTGGTCAGTGAGCCCAATCATTGACAGCCTCCCGTTCTCCACTGTGGACAAACATCCTCCCCCCAAGGCAGCAAACATCCTCCTCCGCGCCCCCACCCTTCAAGGCAACACACTCTGACAGCTCACTACCACTGCTGTTGCCAGAGTAAGCAGTGATCCTTGTCCCTGCCACTGCTTCAGCCCATAGTCCTGGCTGGGTTTCAGCTCTGCTACCCAGCAGGTTGTCAAAAAGCAAGCTGCTTTCTCTCCCTTCCCTTTCCCCTCCTACCTGTTCTTGCCCAGGGAAGCCTGCACCATGCTCCTGCCCACCTGGACAGCAGGCAGTGCAGGGAAGCTGTGGGGATGCACACTGGACAGCAGATGCCCAGCCAGGTGGGGGAGAAGCTGCAGCTGGGTGGCTCTTGCCCCAGTCTGTGGGGCTCCAGCTCCAGGTCTTCTTCCACCCACTTGTCCACCCTTAAGTGGCTGCTCATTGTGCTGGGTGAGCAGAGTGGGTAGAAGGCAGCTGGGAGTTGAAAACTCGTGTATTGGAGCAAGAACTACTCAGCTGCAGCTTCCCTGCCACTCAGAGCAGTCCAGTAGGGTCAGGAGGAGGAGAAGCCACTGGAGGTGGGGGCAGCTGAGCAGTACCTGGGAGGCTGCAGCTGCACCAATAGCAGCCCCACTGGGAAGCGTGGCATGGACTGCTTCAGGCAGGAACAGGCAGGGCTTGGCCCCACATGTGGAGCACTGCAGGGCAGCCACATGCTGGATGATGGGTGGTGGGGTGGGGCATACCACACCTGTATTGCTCTGCTGCATGTGCCCCCTGCCCTTCCTCCTTCCATCCCCGGCTGGCTCCTGGGACCTAATACATGGGCAGTCCCCCTCCTCCCACATGTGCACGCCCATCTCCCCACACATACCCACATATCCTGCCCCCCACCTCCACCCCAACCCCCACCACACAATATACAAGAGTAATACTTTATTTTGAGGTATTATGCAACCACCTCTATATACAGTACTCAAAAACATAAATCAGTACAAAAATTATTTTTAGAAATAAAATTAAAATATGTCATAGTAGATGTTTGACATTAGTATATATATTTTTTATCTATAATTTGTTAAAATGAAATCTTCTGGAAGATATTATGTGTGCAGCCTTCAACAGCTCACCAAAACTTAGTAAGTGGCCCTTCAGTTGTAAAAATTGCTCACTCCTGCTTTAGAAGGTGGGGAGAGCAAAAGCACTATGGGATATTGGGAGAGCAAGAGGCCTGTCCCTTAGTGCTACAGTAGTTCAGATGTTACATGTGGAACTACAAAACACAGCACTATAGAGAAGCTCCTGTTTCAAACAAGAACACTTCTGTAGTGTTTCTGCATGTGCCATTTTTGTCCCGTCACATGAAGTGCATACCTGTATACCAATTTTTCTGTAGCGCTACTACAAGGGCATATATAACACACTTATGTGCTTTTGAACATTTTACTCATAGTAATTACTGAAGGAAAAGCCTGTACTTCTTGAGGGGATTAGGACCCAGTAGTAAATACACAAAGTTTATGAAGTTACTTTTTTTAATTGCACAGATTCTCAACAGGTATCAGAGAAACATATTTGACCAATCCCACATTACTAAATGCAAGTAGGATTCTGAATAAGTGAGAGACCAGTGGAGAAAAAGTTGATAACCACTGTTCTATTGGGACTGTCACCTTTTACAGGTTACTGAAGAAAATCTCTCAGCTATATTTTAGAGCACAGTGAGAACATGTAGAGTAACAAAATGCGTTTGGAAAGAAAGGCTTGAATTACGAAGAGATTAACAAATACCTCTGCAGACATTTTTTACTGGTAAGATATTTTAAAAGTAATCTCTACACTTCTGGCAAACAAGGGTCAAATCAGTTTAGGTATTATTTGTAATTAAGATAACCTAGAAGGACCAAATATGTCAAGAAATTGCTTTTCCTCATACCTTCTATTCCAGTCTATCAGTGCAGGGCAACTGTAGCATTAAAAAAACAGGGAAACCTTTTTGTACTTAAACATCAATACTGTGTAATGACATAATTGTTTTACTGTGATTGTACTAATTGAATAATCACAGGAATTCACTTTGGTAGAGATATGGTAGTTTAGAGGAGGCACCTAGGGTCACCCTCAGTAGGTGGCAATCAGACAAGGATAGACCCCTCCCCCCCCTGGACTGACACATCAAAAAACTAATCTCCTGGTTATAACATGCCTTGGGGAAAAGAGCACTAAGGAAAACACAAACTGCTGAATACCTTTCATGTCTTTGATTCAAAGACCTTGAAACTTTACATACATTAATTAGCCCTAGAATATGCATGGTTAGAGCATATGAGTGCCCAGTCACACACACACATTTGAAGGGATATACAAGTACATACTTGTACACAGTCTTTGTTTCAACTTATAATCATCTGCTTTATCTGCAGGTGCAAATCTTTTTCAACAAAGAAGAAATTTCTGATACTGAGAAACATAGCTAGAATGGGGTAAAAAGTAGCCAACAGAATGCAGAGGACATTAGCTCTGCTGGTAGGTCAGAGATAACACATTTGGCTTTGAATAATGATGTGAGAAAAAAAATCAGTCCAAAGGATCTACTCTTGGGAGAACACACTGAAAGGAGGAAAGCCACAGTGCATAGGTCTGTGACATAGTAACAATATCACAGATCTACATACTCACACAGGACAAATTCCATCTAAACCCACCAGTTTGATTATGTATAAATATGACTTCAGCTGGTGCTTAAAATGGGTAAAGCAGTGTGAATAAAGGGAGGAAACCACTGAAGGACAAGTCTGAGTTAGGTACTAGAGCACTCAAGATATACTGCAGAACAGAGATGTATGCCTAATAGAATAAGTTCGATCAGAACCTTGCACTGTTTTCTTCTTTCAGCTATTCTCTGATCAGAAGGTTCTTGTTTAAAAAATAAATCATTTAAATTGAGAACATTAGAAACTGAGTATGAGCTCAGAACTGAGGACAAGGATTTCAGTTGAAACGACAGAACTAGCAAATTTTGCACCACAGAAGGCAAGTAAAGGGGAATGTACTATTCTTTTAAATTGATCAAGAAACAACAACAGTTCCACAGACAAAAAGCACTTGCCAGCTAGCAAGTCCACCTGACAGTATGCTTTCAACTGTAGGCCTAGTGCCTGACAGTGCAGTTGCTGGATGTGTATAGCCTCTTGCATCTAAAGGCAAAGTCTTATCAACTCAAAGTACTTCCATAGCCTGCCCATGTCATATCTGCAAAATTGATCTTTGTAAAACAGTCACCTGGAACTTGATACATGTTGTTCCCAAGCATTATGCTATCAATCTAAGCACCAAGCACATCCTAGGTTTGGTAAATCACTAGTGTCTGTTGAGATGCATTGTCCGCATGGATGAACACATTCTGCCCTCCTTTTTCTCTTCCTTAGAGTCTAACACCTTCTACAGGTAAGAGGAAATTTGAAGAGCAGGAATTGTAAACTGACAATAAACTCCTTGGCACAGGAGCTATGGCAGACTATAGATATTGCTAAGGCAAATAATCTCATATCAGAAAACACGGGGCATGTGCACAACCCCAGTGACAATGAGCTTATGGACAATGCATCTCAACAGAATCCAGTTACTAGTGACGTCTCTTTTTTTCCCCGTATATAATGTAAGGAAAATCAGCCAAATTTGGTTAGTTGCATAATTTAAGAAATAAAAAGATAAAGCAGAAGCCTTTATTCACTGAATTTTGTTGTAACAGAAGTGATATAACCACTTTATACTCTTTCAGGACAGCTGGGCTCCAAGAAGATACAAAAATATGAGAGGAAGAACTATTAATTACTTCTTGCTGAGGACTTGGTTGCTTTGAAGGACAGAACAGCATTTTATCCCCCTAAATGCATATTGGGTAAGTTGCCTACAATGAGCCATCCCTTGCATAAATTTGCTTAAATTTCATGCCCCATGGTCTGCAAATCCAGTACAAGGGACCAATTCATGATAATGTCCCAAAGATGCAAAAGACCATTAATTTATGTCTAAGTTGATCTGACAGAACTACTGAATTAGGTCTGTTCTACCAACAATATGGCGCACACAATGTACAGGAGATTCAATATTTTGTTTTCATTAAATAAAATAAAATTTTGTTTTATCATTGTGTTCACAGAAATACATGTGCTGTACTTAAACAGACCATTAGCTCAACAAAACTAATACTGTTTTCAGCAGTGGCCATTCTCTTATATATTAAAAGAAGATACATGAATGCATTGTTACGTGATGCTGTTCTTCAATGAACAACATTATTTCTGACTTTGGTGGCACTGTTTTACATAATGAATCATGAGATTTCATTAAACCTGTTTAGTCATGGATCCAAATGGGTCATAAACAGTTATCCAGCTATGGGTTTAAAGAAGATCTTACTGTGAAATGAACTCTCGTTAAGTAAAAATGAGATGGAATACAGACCATCATGTTACTGGAATTCATTTAGAAAACAAAATACAGAATGATGTGAACTTTCTCACATTTCTGAAGAAAATAATAGTTAAGACAGAGTTTTAAAAACATGTTACATGTCCTATTAAAAAATATTACATCCAACTGAATTACCAAGCCAACTAATGCTAGTACTGGCAGAGGTTCAAATAACTGCATAGCAGGATGTGTGATTTTTGGGATCAGGGATTGATCCCAATCATGCCTTTATTTGGATGGAAACCAATTATGTTAGCAAGGTTTCTGGAGGGGGTAGCTGAGAGGCTCCCTGCAACTGGGCTAGTTGTCCAAGCAGGAGCTGCAGTACAAGGCTTTTTAAAATGCCAGGTTGCGGGAAGCCAAGGGACTCCCCTGTCCCCAGGGAACCTTGCAAACTGCCCGCCTAACAGGCAGGTTTTGGCATCAGTACTGGGAACATAAATGGCTGACCATGCGGCATTATTACTATTTACGGTATGATTCACATGTTAATCACACCATAAAAGTAATGTACATTAGGGGTTGTACATGGTTTTTGAATTTTGTGTTTAATTTTTAAGTATAAAACTTAATTAATTAATCCAATGATGGAGATCCTGTCAGTGCTTACCATTTTCAACTTGAATGATCATAGACAATTATTAACAGAATCACCATGAACTATTAATCTTGCAGAAATTGAGATCCAACAAACACTTAAAAAAAATCTAGAAGCAAATCAGGAAAAAAGAGACATGTTAATACTTCACCAAATGGGATACCTAGCTCCTTTTGCCAGTTTGTACTTTCTTAAAGATACGAGATTGATTCCCAAAGATTTTCTCATCATTTTTACTACCTTTTTTATTACTTTTCAAAAAAGAAGTTGCTCGATCAAACCAGCATCCAGTTTAGTAAGTGAAACAAAAGTAATTAAAAATAATTCATAAAAACTGTATTAAAATATTATCAATACTTATTTGCAGCACACTGGAAGAAATATGCCTCACAAACTTGCCACGCTGCAAAAATCATCATCTTATCATTTACACATTCAAAACCAATAATGAAAAGGCATTAATTTCCACTCATTCAACTTATAAAGCCGTAAAAAAAAAAAGGGAGAGAAACCAGAGCCCTCATCCTGAAATAGGCACAAAGCTTACTGGCTCAGTTTGTATGACTGGGGTTTCCTCCACTTGCTGTTTTTGGTAACACTTATTACCCTTCAGCTTTAAAAGACATAACACAACTGTATTAGATAAGGTGGGGTGGCATGGATCTGATGTGCACAGCATGTTTCACGGTTCTGTATTCAGTTCTAACTTTTTTTCACATTGCTTTCTGCATATATATATATATATATGGTTTGTTATAGTATTGTGTTGTGGTGGTTTATATGATCCCATGTTCTTTTGTTGGAAGTTTTGTTGGGTCTAGTCCATGCTGCTTCATCTGCACTGCAATATCGAACAAGTAATCGTAGCATTCACACCTTATATATATAAAAAAAAGAACAGGGAAATTACAAATTAGGACTGAGTCTTAAGAAGCTGCAAATTTAAAAACAAAACAAAACATTTTCTTCTATAAGCTGAACACTAAGAGCATGGTGGTCATGCAGTACACTCCTATGATTGCTTGTCTTTCATTATCAATATTTAGTCCTTCACAACATTGAAGTTTTCATGGTTGGGACAGGCAGGGGAAGAGGGGTGCAACACAGCCTGCGTGGCATGGCAGTTTGTGAAGCATGGCATTTGTGAAGCACGGCTTTCCACTGAGAGATGGAGAGCCGGATTCTCACTGAAGGGGAAATTTATTATTTAAAACACCCATTGTTAGGTACGTGTGGCTCTGTAAACAGAGGCATTACAAAGAGACCATGAAAGCAATCTGGAGACCTTCTCCAAAAGTGAAGGTGGTTGGTGTGGGTGCGCGTACGTGCTAAAAGGAATTTTTCCACGTGATGGGAACCTTGTCAGCGGAAACAGTTGTGAAAGAGGAAGAGTCCAAAGGGGAAATCATGGCTCCATTAGTAATACTTCTATGGGGGTAGGATTTCACCTTGAGTTGCAGAGGCTCTGATTCATGGGAAAGAAATATCAATTGATATTTTAGGTCTACAATGGCAACAGAAAAGAATACTCACATTGTTTTGGCTTTTTCCCAAGTTTCTCCCCATACATAAACTCCATGACGCCTGACCAATACAGCACAGGAGTCTGGGTATTTCTCCATTGCACGTGCCATTCGTTCTTTGAGATCTTTCTCTTCTGGTGTATTTTCAATGATGGGGACAACTAGCATATCATCATACCTAACAGAAAAAAGGGCACTGTTGAAATAAAAAACCCTGTGTATTTTTGAAGTGTTCTCAGTTCTTGCACGGACCTGGATGTTAGAGGTTTTTTCTACCTCTAAGAGCCATTGTCTTTTTCTTATCAAAGAGGTTCTTCCTTAATTAAGGATGTTACCAAATCCTCAACAACATCAATTTTCACACTCATCCTGTGAGCTAAGCTATACATCATCTGCACAGCTCCCACTGCAGCAAATGATCTAACGCATAGGTTTTATATGGGTCACCTAGCAACTGTTGGTCTGTCTCAACCTGTATTAGCAAATTCTCCAATTTTACTTTATGTAGAAACTTGAAGAACCATCCAATAAAGATTGACATGAAGCAGCCACTTCAGGTGCAGATAAATATAAAAAAATATTTAGGTTTAGTTGGTCCAAAAAAATCTCTGGAAACCTGAACAGAATCCTGTTGAACGATATAGCTGAAAAGAAAAAAAAATGTTTGAAGAATTAAAGATGCTTCTCTACCGTGGGTCAGACTTGATCAATATTTCCACAGTTTGAGAACCCTACAGCTCTATAAACAAGATGCTGTGTGGTAGTCAGTGAAACCTGCACAATAGTTTGCAACAAAGAGGAACCAGGACATTTAGCAATGTTTGCATCTCAATTAATATTGTCAGAAACATGTTTAAATGAGTTTAATAAATTCCCAGTTCAAATCTAGGATTCATTATTAAGATCATAAATGTATTTTATGGGGAGAAGCTAGAATCTTTTTAAAAATCACAGACATGAAATAATGCTGACAGTAAAAATGACTGCATTCTGTATTAAGTGTTTATTAGGGTTGTACGAAGCTTTTGGTTGCTGATTCAATTCAGTGGAGATTCCGCCCAATTTGGCAGCTGAATCTCTGAATTGAATCAGGAGACCCTTTAATCTCTTCAAATTGAATCAGAACCCTCTGACTTGATTTGGAGAGATTCAGTGATTCAGACATAGGCACAGCTTTAAATGTTTTTTCTGCATACCTCAAGATACCAGGTGGCTCGTGAATGCTGAGATGGTGGGGTGGATGGAGAGTCCCACGGGAGCATGGGAGGGTCCCCAGTGTGCTCCGCAGCGGACCCGGAAGTGGACCAGAAGCACTTCCGGTCCGCTTCCAGGTCTGCAACTGGTGCCTCATGGGTCTGTGGGGGCACCCAGGGTCCCCTGCGACCGATTGTCAAGCCAAGGAGGGTGCAGGAGGTGTGGGGTGTGTGTGTTCCCTGTGCACTCATTGGCAGACCCGGAAGTGGATTGGAAGTACGTCTGGTCCACTTCCGAGTCTGCCGTTGAGCACGCGCCCCGCCCCTGCGCTCCTGTGGGATGCTCCATCCACCCCACCATCTCAGTGTTCGCATTCCATGCCTGGTACCTTGAGGTATGCAGAAAAAACATTTAAAGCTGTGTCTATAGATAAAGCTAAAGCTAGTTGAGGATGAGCAATACACATCCTTAACTAGCAGGATGGGGTCTGAGGAGGGGCAGGGTGAAGTGCTCTGGGTCAGAGTACAGGGGGGTTGTGGGGAAAGGGACTTAACAGTGGGGGTCTACTACAGACCTCCCAACCAAGGGGAAGAGCTGGACTGCGAATTCTTGGGTCAGCTTGCGGAGGCACTTAAGGCAAGGGATGTAGTTGTCAAGGGTGCTCTAAAATACCTGGACATCTGCTAGGAGGAGCAGTCAGCCAGGTCTGACTGCTCACGGAGGTTCCTAGCTGAGATACAGGACCTCCACTTAACCCAGGAGGTGCACTGTCCCACCAGGGGAAATGCCCTGCTGGACCGGGTCCTGGCCACAAGCAATGACCTGGTGAGGGGACTCCAGGTTCTTGGCCACCTGAGTGACAGTGATCATCGCTTGCTGGAATTCACCATGCAGCGCAGGGTGTCAAGGGCCTGCACCAAGGCAGTAGCCCTTGACTTCAAGAGGGCCAACTTCAATGAGTTGAGGAGATTGGTAGGAGAGGCACTGGGTGAGGTGGGCATGCTAGAAGGGAGGGACAGAATACAGCTGGGCCTGGACAGGTTACAGGGGTGGGCAAATGAGAATAGGATGGGATTCATTACTGACAAGTGCAGGGTGCTGCACTTGGGCACTCAGAACCAGCAGCATACCTATAGGCTGGGGAACTCTCTTCTTGAAAGCACAGTGGCAGAAAGAGATCTTGGAGTCATTATCGATTCCAAGATGAACATGGGCTGCCAATGCGAGGACACAGTCAGTAGGGCTAACTGCACCTTGTCGTGCATCCACAGATGCATCACAAGCAGGGCCAAGGAGGTGATCCTCCCCCTCTATGTGACACTGGTCAGGCTGCAGTACTGAGTCCAGTTCTGGGCGCTGCACTTCAGGAGGGATGTGGACATCATTGAGAGGGTCCAAAGGCGGGCCATTCGCATGATCCAGGGACAGCAGGCCCCCGAGTGCCTCCCGGAGTAACAAGGAATAATGGTCATAAGTTGTTAGAGAGTAGATTCAGGCTAGATATCAGGAGGCACTACTTCCCAGTCAGGGCAGCTAGGATCTGGAAACAACTTCCAAGGGAAATAGTGCTGGCTCCTACCTTGGGGGCCTTTAAGAGGAGGATTGACAATTACCTAGCTGGGGTCATTTGAGCCCGGTTTTCTCTCCTGCCCAGGGTAGGGGGTCGGATTAGATCTACAAGGTCCCTTTCGACCCTATTATCTATGAATTTATGAATCTATAGCCAAATCGCTGATTCTCTGAATCAGCATCGAATCTTCAGATTCGGATTCAGTCAAATCGAATCGGGACAGTGATCCGAATCAACTAATCGAATCACTGTCCCCTGAAGCAGGCCAAGTCCGAATCGAATATGGTCCACTTTGCACACCCCTAATGTTTATTCCCAGAGTAAGAGGAAATCTGATCCTTTAATATGAAAGATATACTAACAGTGGGGCTTGTCCCTTTATGGACTTGGAGAAGAGAACCAGGGAGCTGTCAGTTCTGTTCTAGGAAGGCCAGATGAGAGGACCTGCTGATGAAGGCAAGGCCCCATCCTGGAGGTTTAAAAAAGATCCCAAAATGGGAAGGAGAAAGAGAGAGGGGATAGGGAGAAGCAAATCGACTTATGAAGGAATGGTGCTGCTGAAAGAAAGTGTCTGGGAATAGAATAGTTCAAGGATCTCTCCAGCTCAGGCCATAAGTGAGGGAGATGAAGGGAAGAGAAACTTTGTGGTCAGTCCTGTGGGTCTGTGGTTTTTCTCTATGCTTTGAGAATATATGTAGCCAAAGTGGTTACAAATGGCAGCAAAGCACAGGTTGCTGTTAGGGGTCAGAGTGGCAAATTAAATGGCCTACAGCATCTCAAAGCATTCTGCAAGTAACAAATGAAGCAGTGTTTGGGAGACTGCCTACTCTGGATAGTAAAACTAGAGAAGGTTAGTAGCTAGGACAGATGACAAGGGGCCAGATCTTCTAGGTTCTCTTTCATGCTCTACCACTGGCTCACTGGCATGGACATGACACAAAACACTCCTCTATGCCTTGCTCTCTGAAATGGGTGTACACAAGATACCTGTTTCCCCAAGGATGTTTGTACACCTTTAAGTTACAAAGTTCCTTGAGATCCTTGGATGAGAGATAACATATATATAATTTTAATGTTGAGAGTAAAATGATGGCTAGATCAGATTCAGCCAACTCTTTTTGAATAATTTATTTTAATCAGGTTCAGGATCACCCTTGAAACAATATTAATAAACCAACTGTTTTAGCACCACACCTAACCTGTAGTTAAGCAGCCAGCCTCATTGCATTCATTGCCATAAACGTCACTCAAATTAGTAATAGGAGAGCTTTTATTTACTTATTTTTACATCAGAAAACATTCTCTCCTAGGCAGTTATCTATTTCCTCTTATTTACTTGGGCTTTGGTCCATGACATGCATGTTGGGTGTTGCCACCCATCCCCACAACAGTCACAGAACTAATGAATGTTCCTTTAAACAAATTACAAATATTGCTTACTTAAATGCACGAGTAAGCATGGTGTAGCAGGAATTAGAGAAATGTGTTTATTCTTCTCCCTCTAGGGGCAGGAACTGTAATGAATAATGAGATTAAATGCACAAATTTCATTATTTGTCATCTAGGCTAATGACAGAAGTTACACATAAGCGGGTTTAAGTGATCAGAAATTGTTTTAAACCTGTAACAGAATAGAAGTTCAGTGTACATACACCAGTTTCAAAATGGCGTTAACTGGTTTAAGATAAACCTGGTTGAATGTAGCATCAGACTTAACTGATTTAGGTCAAACCAGTTTATGAAACTTCTGTCCCTGACCCATTCCTGGTTCAAGATAAATCAGCCCCCGCCCAGCATCCTAGCATTTTGCAGCCCTGGGCTGGGTTGTGCTGTCTGCTGGCCCCACCTCTCTACTCCCTAGCACGAGCAGTGAGGGCCGGCTCACTGGCGCCCCCAGGCAAACCACTGCTGGGGTCTAGGACCAAGGACAAAGGTTAAACTTCCCTTCCCCTGAGTATGGAGCTGCCCTGCCCTGTTTAATGCTGGCTGTGACTGTGGGCTACATATCTGAGAGGTACTTGGAAGCAGGAAGAGTAAGAGACAAGCCACCTTGCAGAGTCCTATTGCTGTAAGTCTCGACAGCAAATCCCAGAGACCTTGGGGGCAGCAGGAGGAGGAAGCAAACACAAAGCCCATGCTGGCTATGTGCCAGAGAGCTGTGCTCCAGTGCTCCCTGCCTTCTGGCTTGCGTCACTACAGGCATGTGGCTGCATTTTCTGAATCACAAGTGAATGTCTGTTCATTTGCTTATTGGTTCAATCTTTGCATCTTAGACTAACCTGCAAAGACTGAATCAATTCAGCCTTGGGCTTTCTGACTGTCTGTACTTAGCCTCTAAGACAGTTTGGCTTTTCTATGAGAGGAAAGAACAAATAACATGAACCCAATTTAAAATGGGAATGTACCTGTAATAGCCTTCTGAACTGCATTTCTTGATTCCTTTTATCATCTCCTGATGGGTGATTTTAAACTCACTTCCTGGATAGAGAAGAGTGGCCATAACAGCAGCTTTGGAATGAGTATGGATTACAGCACTTGCTCCTAGAGGGAGAAGAATAAACACATTTTTCTATAATTCATGCTACACTATGGCTCTCTGCTGTATATTAAGAAGCTTATTTTCATATATTCAATTTATTTCTGTTGGGTAAACTTCCTTGCAAAGGATAAATATTCAGATGTATAGAGAAGCGAAAGATATGATAAAAGGAAGTAATTAGTGGAATTACTTCCTCTTTAACAATTTCTTTGCCTCCATTTTTCTGAGCAGGGACCCGGTCATCCCCCCCATCGGGATCCTTGACAGACCCAGGGGAGGCGCAGCCAGGCCCAGGGTCAGTGAGGACCTAGTCAGGGAACTTCTGGTGAGACTAGAAATGTTCAAATCAGCAGGTCCTGACAATCTCCACCCGAGTGCTGAGGGAATTAGCAGAGGTCAGTGTGGGACCCCGGCACAGCTTTATGAGCACTCATGGTGCTCTGGCGAGGTGCCAAAGGACTGGAAAAGGGTCAATGTGGTCCCCATTTTCAAAAAAGGGAGGAAGGAGGACCCAGGAAACTATAGGCCCATTAGTCTTACCTCAGTCCTGGGGAAGCTCTTTGAGAAAATTATCCAGGAGCACATCTGCGAGGGACCAGCAGGGGAGATTATGCTTAGGGGCAACCAACATGGGCTCATTAGAGGCAGGTCCTGTCAAACCAACCTGGTTGCCTTCTACGACCACATCACAAAATCCATGGACGCAGGTGTCGCGGTGGACGTAGTCTTTCTGGACTTTAGGAAGGCCTTTGACACTGTCTCTCACCCCATTCTCATAAAAAAATTAGGCGACTGTGGTGTTGATGCCTACACAGTCAGATGGCTTGCAAATTGGCTGGAGGGCCGCACCCAGAGAGTAGTGGTGGATGGGTCATTTTTGACCTGGAGGGATGTGGGCAGTGGGGTTTCCCACAGCTTGGTCATGCAACCTCTTTGAAATTGCCAAAAACTCATGTATGTGTAAAGTGTGATGCCACACACAAGGAAATTTTCATCATGTGTACAAGCACCCCAAGATACTCTCCTGACTGGCTAGGACAGAGTACCAGCAGTCAGTGAAAGCCGACTCACCCCAAAATTCAAAACATGTAGCAGTTTGCTGTGGAAGAACTATTTTTCATTTAATTACCCAGCCAACCACCAAAAGGCTCAGCCAGCTGCTAAACTGCTGTACTCTCAAGATTTATAGGACAACTCACTGCTGAGACCACAAGTCAAACTATTTAGCAGCACCACTGCTTTAGTGGCAAATATGAGACAGGTATTCTATTCATTCCCTGGGTATTTTTCAGGCTGAAATTTTTCTGGCAAGTCGAATGCTTTATTGCCAATCATATGTAAGATTTCTTAGCTAGAGGACAGAACAGAAATTCTAAAGGGTAATATCCTAGTTAAAAAATGGCACAGGGAGACTGAGAGCTCTAACTGGAAAATGGAAAGCAACAGGATTATCTAGCCTGATGAAAAGTGCTTGAGCAGTAACCTAGGTCACATGGCAGAGGAAAGAGAAAGTAGAATGGTCTGATAAATTGTATCCACCTTCAACAGTTTTATTCACTGAATTATTTTTAGTTTTAGCTGCAGTATGCACTGTGTGCATACAATCCCTTGTGGGGGAACTTTTTGCAAAGAATTCTTATTCTAAAGAAAGATCAACTGTCATTGTTCATGGAGCTTTCTAAATTAATCCTCGTTCTGTGAAGCCAAAACTTTTTTGAGGGAAGTAAGTATCATTTCAGAGCTAAATTTTCAGAAGCATCAACAACCAAAGAAGTCACAGCAATAGTCCAAAAAGACCCATTCTTCAAAATAATTTATTTTGTGATTAGCGTTTCTTGATAGTTAAGGTTGTGTCCTTGGGCCCGCACTGTTCAACCTCTTCAACAGCGACTTGGATGAGGGGGTGAAAAGCACCTTGTTCAAATTCATGGATGACACTAAGATGTGGGGAGAAGTGGGCACACTAGAGGAGAGGGACAGGCTGCAATCAGATCTGGACAGGTTACAGGGGTGGGCGGATGAGAACAGGATGGGTTTCAATACTGACAAGTGCAAGTTACTGCACCCGGGGAGGAAGAACCAGCAGCATATCTACAGGCTGGGGAACTCCCTTCTCATCAGCAGAGAGGCAGAAAAGGATCTTGGAGTCATCATTGATTCCAAGATGAACATGGGCCACCAATGTGAGGATGTGGTCAGTAAGGCTAACCTTACCTTGTCATGTATACACAGATGTATCACGAGCAGGTCCAAGGAGGTGATCCTCCCCCTCTATGCGACACTGGTCAGGCCGCAGTTGGAGTCCTGTGTCCAGTTCTGGGCACTGCACTTCAGGGGGGATGTGGCCAGTATCGAGAGGGTCCAGAGGAGAGTCACTCGCATGATCAGGGGACAGCAAGGCAGGCCCTACGAGGGGAGGCTAGGGGACCTGAACATGTTCAGCCTCCACAAGAAAAGGCTGAGAGGGGATCTGGTGGCCGTCTATAAACTGGCCAAGGGGGACCAGCAGGCAATGGGAGAGTCCCTGTTCCCCTGAGCACTACCGGGAGTAATAAGGAATAACGGCCATAAGTTGACTGAGAGTAGATTCATACTAGACATCAGGAGGTGCTACTTCACAGTCAGGGCGGCTAGGATCTGGAACCAACTTCTAAGGGAAGTGGTGCTCGCTCCTACCCTGGGGGTCTTCAAAAGGAGGCTAGATCATCACCTAGCTAGGGTCGTTTGACCCCAGCATTCTTTCCTGCCTATGGCAGAGGGTTGGATTTGATGATCTGCTCAGGTCCCTTCCGACCCTACCAACTATGAAACTATGGAACAGTTATGTTAGCTTTAGGATGTCAGTGGGCCAGTTTTCCAAGTAAACCTTCTCCCTGATTCATCTACTCATATTTCCCTATGTCTTGGGGTTACTGAAACAATGCAATTATTTTATTAAACTACTGGGTTTCCAAAGAAGTCCAAAATACACTTATCTATGGCAGAAGACTGCAAAGAAGCTTCAAAAGGGGCAAAGAGTTTATTTGTTGTTTACCTCTTAAAGTGTAGGCATTCATAAAGAGAGGGGTGCATTGGCTTTTCTTTAGTTTCTTGTGTGGTAGAGGCACACTAATGTCCCGTTCTTCTATGTCACAAACAAATAGATCTTCTGGCTGAGGAATAGGTGGAAGTAGTTAAACACTGTGACACTTGTCCCATCAAACAGACTTGCTTTTATTTTGGGGAGACGCACAAGACATTTAATAAAAAAACCTGTGTAGTATATTTTGCCTGTAATTGTGCTCTAATGCACTACTTTAAAACATTATTATTCATTCATTCCAGGCTCTGCTATATTTACTCTCATTGTCTTGTAAAGCAAACAAGGAAATGCTACATATCCTCCTTATTATAATAATATTAAATAAATATTCTCCAGTCTAAAATCTGACTGGGATGGGGAAGAAACCCATATGCAAAGAAGGTAGATCTGGTAGAAAAAAAAAGGAAGCAACTGACTCAAACAGATACCTGTATATTTTTGTCCATTTCTGTGATATTTTGCAAAAACTGGCCACATCCATGAAAGCTACCTCTAAATTTCACTTCCCTTCTAAATAAAAATGATTTATGTATGTTTGCTTTTAGCTGATTAATGTAAACAATATTTTTCAAGAATCAACGATTCTTGAAAATAAGTCTTTGTGAGAATTAATGGTCCTTGAAAAAAGTATCTGTGATATTAGGTACAAAAAGCCGTTTACCTTTAAAATTAAGACTCATTTGCTAAAGCAAGTACTAAATGTGCATGTTATTTTTTCTTTCCTTTGATAGAAAAGCCAAACTGTCTTAGGGGGTAAGTAGACAGTCAAAAAGCCCGAGACTAAATTGATTCAGTCTTTGCAAGTTAGTTGCTTCTTTTTTTTCTACCATATCTACACTCTTTGCATATGGGTTTCTTCTCCATCCCATCAGGCTTTAGACTGGAGAATATCTGTTTAACATCATTCTAATGACTAAATGATTGCGCAGTACTCAGTGGTACTGTGCAGTCATGGCGGTGTATGGGTCATTTTCGGCAGCATCACAGTTAGTGCCTGCCAATGCTATGTTGCCGTAGCGACAAGTTACATTGCCATAGCTTGTCACTACGGCAATGTAGCATCTTGTTTAGATGCATGCACTCAGTCCAGCCCACTAACTACACACAAAGAATTATAGAATAACAAGACTAGAAGGAAACTCAGATCAGCTAGTCCAAAGCCCAGCTCAAGGCAGGATCATCCATGTGTAAGCCATCCCAGGCAAATGTTTGTCTACCCTGCACTTAAAACTTCCATTCATAGGAGTTCTACAATCTTTAGAGATAAATATTTCCAATGTTTAACCACCATCATAATAAGGAAGTTTTCTAATATTTAACCTAAATCTTCCTTGTTGCAATTTAAGACCATTACTTTGTGTCCTGTTTCTTGAGAACACATGAAAAAATATTGATTGCTATCCTTTTTACAATAACCCCCTTAGTAACATGACTGTTACTAAATCCCTCCCTTTTGTCATTTCTTCTCCAGATGAAATAATCCCTATTTCTCCAACCTTTCCTTATTTGCCACGTTTTCTAAAGTTCAAATACATTTTGTAACTCTCCTATTGATTCTTTCTAATTTGTCCTTAATTTTCTTGAAACAGTGTTTTAAACTAGACACAGAACTGCAGGTGAGGTCTCACCATGCTCAATGAAGGGGTAGAATCACTTCCTAAGAACTGAATGGTAATTCATTACAGTAGGCTAGCATTCTTTTTTTGGTAACAATCCTTTTTTTTTTGGTAACTTTGATTTATATTCAGTTTATGGTCCACTAGACCCCGCCAGATCCATTTCTCTAGCACTTCAGTCTAGCCAACTGTTCGCCATTTTGTACTCATGCATTTGATTGTTCCTTCATAAGTGTCGTGCTTTATGCTGGTCCTAACTGAATTTTATCCGGTTTATTTTAGAATATTTTCCCAATTTAGAATATTGAATCCTAATTTTGTCCTTTGAACTGTTCGTGACTGCACCCAGTTTGGTGTTACCAGCAAACTTACTAACTGTATATTCATCTTTCTGAGTCATTAATGAAGATAATGAACAGTACTGGACCCAATACAGACTCCCATTTGATGCCTACTGTCAGCTAGATACCAAGCCATTGAACTTTATGATGCATCTTGCCACAGTTTTCCACCTTTCTCTTCTTCCATCTTCTTCTTTTTGTGTCTCTATACCACATTTGACCATGTTGTTATACATGTTTGTGTTTGTTTATTGTACATGTGCCTTCAAGCAGCAGGCACTGCAGTAGGCGTTGCATAGTCTGAGGCTCTGTGTTGCAGTCACAGGTGGTTGAACCAATGGTATAGTCCCACTTCTTCATTCGTTCCTTGGAGCAGCCGACTGGTACGTAGGCAGCTGAAACATTGCCACCTTTCCCATGGTTTATCAGCCCCTTTTGGTAAGGACTCAGCCACTGGAATGACCATTGGTTCGCTGTCAGGTATTTTCTTCAGGCCTCCTGTTCCACATCTATAGTCATGTTTCCTTGGGTGTGGCATTGAGAGGTTAGCGGCTGCGTGACTTCAGACACTTTTGTGCTGCACAATGGTCATACAGTAGGTGCCTCACATCTTCAGTTTGTCTTGATCATTCTATCCTGCTGGCTACTGTTCTTCTGATGTCAGGCGGAGCAATGCCAGCCAGCAGGTATACACTGTATAGGCTCGTAGGCTTCACACATCCTGTGATACATCAGCAGCCATCTTTCAGAATGGGGTCAAGGAGCTTAGCACATATAAGCTCTCCCATACAGGGCATGCACACTTGGCAGTGGAGAAGCTGAGAGCCAGAGCAGTGGTTCAGATGGCTGAGGGGTTAGCTCATTTCAGGGTGGTCAAGCCAGTGTTTTGGGCTATTATGTACAGGGTGTTTCCACAGATTAAATGTTTTGTTTCTAAATCAATTTTTTAGTCAGTTGTATAGATGTTATATAACACTAATGCAAGTATGCCTCCTTGGGGAGGCCATTAATCTGTTGCCTCAATCTGCTTTGCTTCCCATCCAGTTTAACAAAAAAACCTATCTGTATTCAAGCAGGGCTTGTGTCAGCTCTGTAAGGTGTAGATATTTTGTCATTTCCAGGGCTTTGTAGAGGAGTTGTTAGTGGTTAACTGTATCATAGGCAGCTGTTAAGTTGACAAACGCAGCTCTGGTGATTTGGCCTCTTTCAAAACTATCCTCAGTATGTTAAACCAGATTAAGTAGCTGGCTCACTGTTGATTTTTCCAGGGCAAAAGTGAAACTGTTCAGGGATTAGGTGTTTACCTACATATGGGGCAAACCAGTGCAGTATCAGTTTATGTGTGTGTGACAGAACACCATTTTGGGTGTCTGTCACTTTAAGGGCTAGAGCAGGGAGCTGCCAGGTGGCTGAAGAGAGTAGCCATTTTGGGAGAGCGGACATTTTAGAGAGCTCTGTTA